GAAATTATTGCAATATAAAAGTATATTTAAAAACTTTAATGTTTGAGTTTAATTGAAATGCAAAGTATTACTGAAAATTGTACCATAATCCTTAAATGAAAAGAAGTTCAATTTGGCACATTAGCTTATAGTTATCACTGGTTTTTATTAGGTGTGATATGGGTTGAAGATGTTCCGTTTTCAGCATCAATAACTGTTGTCATTTTGTAATTGAGTACTTGTGGCCATCCCTGGTATATATCCATCTGCATCATTTACACAGTTTTCTCTGGCCGTATGCGTGGCACATGTGAACATTTGTTTGTGGTTGAAACATAAGAGCAAGAGCCACTGATTCAGTGCAGAGACATGGCTCTGCTCCACACTCTCTATAAGGCATGATTCAGCAGGCAAAAATGAACATCTCAGCATGAGGACAAACTCCAAGAAGAGTCTCTTTCTCATAGCAAAATCAATAAGCAAAACTTAAGTACAAAACATAAAAAGGAAAATGATTGAATGAAGGATCAAGAAAAGAGCAGGGTCGCCATGTTTGCAGCAACGAAAGAAGAGCCAGCGGTGAGGAATGGAGGAATTTCAACAAAAACTGCAGCTCATTTTCAAGTGAACTGAGACTGGACTAATACTGTGTCTGTCTGCAGTCTGACACAGTCAAAAGGAAGCATGTGTGAACAACAAGCTCCATTACATGCTGTACGGTAGATCATTTACAGCACACTTACTCCTCAATAATATTACATTTACACAAAATAAAGTTCTGCCTCCATTTACTCATTGCCATGTCAGTTTCAACTTGTATGTTTTTATTTGTTTTCTGTTGAACACACAAGTTTGGACTACTTTTATGATGCTTTTAGGTACTTTTTGTAATTTATTGGCGTGTGGCAGGAATGCAGCTGTCTGAATATTCTTCAAAATTTCAAATTTTTCTAAATCAGAAGAAAGTCAGGTTTTTAACAACATAAAACAGTAAATGATGAAAGTCTTCATTTTTAGATGAATTATTTTTTGAATACTGATTACCGCAACAGCATTATCCCACATTACTTCACTAGTGCTTTGCACGATCGAGTCCTGGATGATGCAGAGCTGCAGTTTCTTTCAATAGCATGGGAAGCAAAAAAAAGGGAAAGGTAAAAGACAGGAATTGCAAGGTGAAGGGCAGTCAGTGAGGTACTGCGCTATAGACCAGACTCACCCCATCCCTACACAGGCCTGAGGGCTCATTCAGCCCCCCAGCCTACAGCGCCGCCCCTGCACCAAAGGGCGAGAAGTTGAGGTGACCCCTCTGGAAGAGAGGAGAGAAAGACAGAGAGAGAACATTCAAAACACATATACAGCATTTCTTACATGCTTTTCACAATATGAAATCATATGATCAATACATGTGATTACCTGTAGCAGATGTGCAGACGTTATTGAAAGCCTAGGAGACTAATCATAAAGAGACTGGGTGATATGACTTTGGTTTATAAGTACTAGGCTGCTTTGATTCAATAGACATACTTTGCTTCAAGATGCACTAAGAGATTTTCATTATTCTATTTCAGTTTATTCTATTTCAGTTTAGTATCTCCAAAATGTATTTGGAAATTTAAGTCACATTACATTCCTAATACAAAGCATCAAATCATAATATCAGGAACTAAACTATATATATATATATATATATATATATATATATACACTGTATATA